CTAAATTAAATTTTCTTGTCCCAAGAATAAATTCACGATTACAGCACTCATTTTATTATGATTCAAATAGAACTAACACACTTGTAAGATCACCAATTACGATCATGTCGTACAATTATAATAGAATATCGAATGAATTTGATGTTTATTTTCACTCACATGGAAATATTTTAAAATATGTTACTGCAGTGTTCGGTTTATAATAGATATGCATTTTATTTTGTTATAGCCTATTTAGTTTTTATATGTAGAATTTTATTTATGTTGTACCTTTATACTTTATGTTGTTATTATAATTTTCCTGTAATTGGGCTTGTCCCGTTGGAGAATAAACCTTATTATTATTATTATTATTATTATTAAAAAACGGACAAAATATTAGCCCCGCCCACCCACCCCTTCTCAATTGTGATGAATGTTATATTCATCAAAGCTGAAGGGTGGAGTTTAGTTTGCAAAATTTTTATTTCTCTACAAGAAATTATTATATGAAATGTTTTTAAAAGGGTAAAATTTTTTAGAGAAATATTGATGTTACGATTAAACTCCGCCCTTGAAAAAGTCATCACAATTGAAACCCGGGCGGGTGGGCGGGGCTTAATTTTTGTTTTTTTTTTAATACATAGACTTTTTAACAATGGGATGGTTAAACGTGTTGTTAATTTATTGTTGCGAAAAGAAGACTTCGTATATTAAGAAACAATGGACAAAATATTAGCCCCGCCCACCCACCCGTTCTCAATTGTGATGAATGTTTTATTCATCATCAGCTGAAGGGCGGAGTCTAGTTTGCAAAATTCTCGTTTCTCTACAAGAAATTATCATATGAAATGTTTTTAAAAGGATAGAATTTTTTGGAGAAATATTGATGTTACAATTAAACTCCGCCCTTGAAAAACTCCTCACAATTGAGACCCGGGTGGGTGGGTGGGGCTTAATTTTCGTGTTTTTTTTTCTTAATATATAGAATTTTGTTTTAACAATAGGATAGTTAAACATGTTTTCAGTTTCTCGCTTGGAAAAGAAGACTTTGCATATTAAGAAAAAGTGGACAAAATAGAAGCTCCGCCCACCCGCCCCTTTTCATTTGTGATGAATTCTTTATTCATCATGAGGTGAAGAGCAGAGTTTAGTTAGCAAATCTTCATTTCTCTACAAGAAATTACCATATGAAATATGTTTTCAAAGGGGTAGAAATTTTTACAGAAATGTTGATGTTACATTTAAACTCCCCCCTTGAAAAAGTCATCACATTTGAGGCCAGCGTGGGTGGGTGGGGCTTAATTATCGTTTTTTTTTTCTTTAGATTATTTTGAATTTTTAATTTTTTTGGATTTCGAGTTTTTTGAGTTTCTTGCATTTTTACATTTTTTGAAATTTTTTGGATTCTTTAACATTTGGATTTTTGTGATTTTTTTGGATTTCTTGAGTTTTTTGAGTTCCTAGGTTTTTTAAATGCTTTGATTCTGTTTTTTTTTTTGTATGTTTTTGTATTTTTTGAGTTTTTTAATCTTTTTGGATTTTTTCTAGGTAGTTTTTGAATTTTTTCATTTCTTTTGATTTATAAGTTTTTTGAGTGTCTTGGATTTTAGATTTGTTAGTTTTTCGGAATTACTGGATTTTTTGAGTTTTTTTGAGTTTCTTAGATTTTTAAAATTATTTCCTTTTTGTAATTTTTGTTGAATTTTTTTAGTTTTCTGATTTATTGTTTCATGGATTTTTTTAGATTTTTCTTTGATGTCCGTATTAGATTAATGGACTTTTTTTTTCATTTTCTGACTTTTGGATTTTTGAGATATTTTTCTTTTGGTATTGGATTTCTTGAGTTTTTTTGATTTTCTAGGTTTTCTTAAATTCTTTTTTTTTTTTAAATTCGTTTTATTTTTTTATTTTTTTGATTTCTTGAGTTTTTTGAGTTTCTTGGATTTTTTACAATTTTTTTTAATGTTTTTAAATCTTTTGATTTTTTGGATTTTTGTGATTTTTTTAAGATTTCTTGAGTTTTTTGTTAGTTTTTTTTTTTAATATATAGAGTTTTGTTTCAACAACAGGATTGTTAAACATATTTTCAGTTTCTTGTTCGGAAAAGAAGACTTCGCATATTAAGAAAACATGGACCAAATATAAGCACCGCCCACCCGCCCCTTCTCATTTGTGATGAATGTTTTATTCATCGTGAGCTAAAGGGCGGAAGTTTAGTCTGCAAAATCCTCATTTCTCTACTAGAAATTACCATATGAAATATTTTTAGAAGGGTAGATTTTTTTACAGAAATATTGATAATTAAACTCCGCCCTCGAAAGTCATCACAATTGAGACAGGAGTGGGTGGGTGGGGTTTAGTTTTTGATATATTTTTTAATATATACAGGTTTTTTTTTTCAACAACAGGATAGTTAAACATGTTGTCAGTTTCTCGTTGGGAAAAGAAGACTTCGTATATTAAAAAAAAAGACAAAATATAAGCCCCGCCCACCCACCCCTTCTCAATTGTGATGAATGTTTTATTCATCGTGAGCTGAAGGGCGGAGTTTAGTTTGCAAAATCTTCATTTCTCTACAAGAAATTATCATATGAAGTGTTTTTAAAGGGTAGAATTTTTTAGAGAAATATTGATGTCACAATTAAACTCCGCCCTTGAAAAGGTCATCACAATTGGGACCGGGGCGGGTGGGTGGGGCTTCCTTTTTATTATTATTTTTTTAATACATAGACTGTTTTTTAACAATAGGATAGTTAAACATGTTGTCAGTTTCTTGTTGAAAACAGAAGACTTTGCATATTAAGAAAAAATGGACAAAATATTACCCCGCCCACCCACCCCTTCTCAATTGTGATGAATGTTTTATTCATCATCAGCTGAAGGGCGGAGTTTAGTTTGCAAAATCCTCATTTCTCTACAAGAAATTACCATATGAAATATGTTTTTAGAAGGGTAGAATTTTCTAGAGAAATATTGATGTTACAATTAAACTCCGCCCCTCGGTCTAACAACGAATGAAAAACTCGTCACAATTAAGATCAGCACGGATGGGTGGGGCTTAATCTTTCTTATTTTTCTTTGTATATGTAGTTTTCTTTCAACAATTTTTGGCGCAAAGAACAAGAGATATTATAATAAAAAAGATAAAGTCGATCTATTATTCAATAATTTTGGACTGTAGTCCTAATGTAGGTCACGTAGAATAATTTGTACTTTCTCGTTTTTCGCGAAAAACTGAAGAAATGAAAAACTGAAAAATCCAAAAAATGAAAATTAAAAATTCGTGAAATTTCAAATCGGAAAACTGCAAAATCTAAAAATTTCATGAGTTAGATATAGTTAAATTGAAGAAAGGTAAAAAAAACTTATAAAATCGGAACATTGAAAAATTGAAAAATTGTAAAAATAAAGAAAATAAAACAACTGAAACGAAAAATTGCATCTGGAAAAATCAAAAACTGAAAACTCGAGAAACTCAAGCTGAAAATTTGCAAAATGTAGAAATTGAGTTGAAAAGTTAAAAAATTCCACCCACTTGATAGAGGTTATTAGAAAACAACAATCGCAAAAAATGATAATTTTTCAGAGAAATGGGATTTGAAGCTGCACTTCAAGCGTAAGGGAAGCTCAGACATTCGACCATTTTTTTGTAAGTTGTGGATTTCTAAAGTTTTTGACCATGATTCCAGCGGATCCATATAGAAACCGCTGACTGAGATTTTTATAAAAAAAAACAAAAAAAAACACAAACGTCAATTTGGTTTTTAGATCACAAATCAAGAAAATCACCCGGTGGAAGGCCCTTGTAACAACACCCTTAAGCATTAAGGTAAGTTCAATAACTGTGTATAAGGTTCAAATATTGGAGGAAGCCTCAAATAACTAGGAAACCTCTACAGAAGTAGCTGAATTAAACAAATTTTAGAAGTAAAATTTTCTGCGATCCATATATTAAAATTTATAATAAGTTTCCAAATTCATTTTCTACGCAAAAAAAAAACAATTTTCTGGGACCTCAAATTATCAAGAACGTTAAAACTTGTACAAAATTAAATATTTTTATTTACACAAAAAACTGATCATTTTTCCCCAAATCTCATTATCGCGTTTAAGGAATAAAACGAATGACTCATGTTTATTGCAAAACCACTTATACATCATATCCAAATATACTTTCCGTCCAAAAATTAACAACTGCAAGATTTCGAAAAAAATCTTCACCTCATAAAATAACAAAAAAACCGATTTCCCCTGAACCTAATCCAAATTTATAATTCGGCTGTTTAAACCCCAAGAAAAATCTCCGTTTTGATGAACCCATAAATCATCCAACTTCACAGCCCCTCGGGCATAAAAAATTTGATGGTTATTGAATTATAGTTATTGTGATCGACATTAGCAGGACGTAAAATGAGCAAAAAGTTTAGTGGTTTGCGGACCGTAACTCAGCCGTTATGGAGCAAAATTTATTTCTTTTCCCAAGCAACGAACTACTTGTTCTTCCGCGAAAAAAATCGCAACGGAAAATTAATTAAAATAGTGATAAAAAACTAAACCAAGATAGTTTCTTATAAACTAATAAATAAAATAAAAATATGTATTTATTTATACGTTAAACTTACACATTTTGAGTACATTTTAAAATAGTTGTGTTTATCTTTTTCATTTATTTGCGTCGTTCGTACGTTCGACTAAATAAACAGTCGTTCCTTCGACACGAAAATCTGCATTTTTCGTAAATTTGGTGCAATATTTAAAAATTTTGGTTGCTCTTTCACGGGCGCGAATTTGGCGAAACGAACAAACCATCTAAGATTAGATAGCCTTGAGTATGAAAAGAGTTAATTATTATCGAATTATAGATCATTGTGATCTAAATCAACTATTAAGTCGAGGCATTCGCTCGACAAAAATTGGCGCAGCCGCCCCCAGACCAAACCGCCTCTTCAGCCGCCACCCCCCAACACCAACAACAACAAAAATTTCAATTAGCGCCCAAGCGACCAAACTGTACTCACATGTGGTGCCGCCTCCGAAGAAAGCGCATCCTTGCGACCGCCGCAACTCCTCCGAAGCTTGCTCTTGCACTTGAAACACTCACAAAGTGCGCGAGAGGATCGCCGAGGAAACCGAACGCGTCTCGAGGTACCGCTTTCGCAGTACAGCACGATGGAATGGACCGTCTAGTACTGGAACCTCTATTTATACCCTCTGTTCACGGCGACTATGAGGGCCCTTCGGACCGCATCTTCATGTCTTCTTCGTCTCCGCTGGCTCGTCGCCGGCCCAAAGGGCGGCCCTTATCGACACACAGATCGCTGCTTCGAGCGACACGACTTTGACAAGCTTCGGCTTTTAGTACCGGCTCGGCTGGAGAAGCGTTTTCACGCCAGAAAAGGCTTAAGAGATTAGGGAAGGTAAACAGCGGCGAGGAGGTGACAAGTGGACGGTAAATAAACAGCTTTCGGCAAACAGAAAGGGCTGGTTTTTGCACTGCCACCAAAGAAAATTATTAATTAATTCTTGCATCAACTTTCATGAAAACTTTCTTTAATAATTTTTATTCATGACGTCATCAGGTTGATAGGAGGGAGGAATCAATTTTAGTTCACGTACGACAAACTGTAAATTTTGTACTTTTTTCAGATTTCAGAAAATTCCAAGGAACTATAAGCAAGAAAATTTAAATAATTTCGTCTGTTTTTTTTTTATAAACAATTTAAATTCAAGAGTGTCGCTATTCCAGTCAGAGAGAGTCCGAGAAGTGACAGCTTGGGGTTGGGCGAAAATGACACATAATGCGTTAATTGACATTCCAAGTCAAAAGTATGAGGTTCTCAGCCTAAACTGTTCCATAACGTTGCGAAATTAAACCGAATAGAAAAGATGGGGCACAATATAGCGGAAGTGGTTTAGAGGAAGCGTTTATCTGTGTTGCTTCCCACTCCTACGTTACCTCGTGTATAATTAATCTTCTTTTGATTTCCCTATTTCATGAATACTTAACATTCTTTTATTTAGAACACGAAACGTACTACACCGGATACATAGTGGTAGGTTTTTATCTTAGCGAGATACGTAGACTTTAATTAAAAATAGAATTATCAATAGTAGCATCATCCTGCTTTGAGAGGAACATGTTTTGAATTTCATTCATGATCAGTCTTTGACGAGCTTGTAACTAGAGTGGCGCCCTCTGGCAGGTGGTAGTTGGAAATATCAAATGAGGCGCGTAGTCTTACACAGATTTCTTTTATTTCCTGATATACAATAATATAAATAGAAAAATAGAAAAACTTCATCGATGAATTATAATATAAACAAAAAATAAAATAAAATAAATTGGGTAAAAAAAACTACGAGCCTAGCATCGACTGCTGCATCATTGTAAGCGAATGCAGCCAAGAATCAGCCGAATATAGCGCTCTTTTGCCCCTACTGGTAGATGGAAGATTTATCCCGCTTGAGTCTGTTGTTGAATCTGTTGTGACGTCTGCAGATTTTTTCGCTACAACATTTATTAGACTATATTTTAATGACCATACTCATACTCATACTACCTTTTTTATTAGATTCCCTGTCCACACTGACAGCCCTGCGTTTTCTTGTTTTCTGAGTAGTCATTTTTTCTTGACCACCAGATTTCACAATCAAACTTTTTGACCCCCTTTTACCTGAAAGAGTGTTAGTCCCCCCTGAAGACGCCCCTGCCTTCTTTTCTTTATTGTTTTTGGGGGTTTTCTGAGACACATTTAATTTTCGTTTAGACTTGCTTTTAATTGGCGAGTGACTTAACAGAAATTTTGATTCCACAATCTGCCCTTTCACTTTTCTTTTCACTAGAAAATACGTTTCCCCATTTTTTTTTTCACTCTTAGTAAGACTTACCTATCTGAGGTATAGGAGTGGATGATGGCAGTTTTAAAGAAATTAGTGACATCCGATCACAGTGTACAAGCTCTCTATCTAAAATTATAAACTTAGAAAGATGCAGTTGGTATTAATAATAATCATGTGAAACCTTGGGCAAATTCCAGTAAGCGCTGTGAGCGCCTCCTTCCCAGTTGAGTCTCAGAAGTCTCAACGTGATTTGGAGTCCCCACTTCCGGTGACTGGGGGTCATAAATGTGACATGATTCAACTACAAACTGACATTACACTTCACATTAATTAAACAAAAAACAAACCTTGTGATTTTGTTTTCGTTGTAACCCTGCGTGCTATCACTCCGTTTTTCCGTGGATTTTTCTTTGCTTTAGTAACTTTATTGTTTACAGTTTTATTAATTTTGGAACCGTTGTTATTAAAGAGCTTTAAATTTTTAAAGAAGACGGTTTTTATTATGAAAATCTGGCTTGTCAGCCACTGTTTAGGACCACCTACGAACAAACAACTTATTTTAAGTTTATCAGACTGCAAGCGTACCTTCTTCTAGTTTGTTCAAGTATTTTTCGACCCGGTTCAACATTCCTAACACAAAAAAGAAACTGTCTTCTGGGGTTAAGTCCGCTTCTTCTAACGTCTCGCGTGTTATTTCAAAATCCGACTCATCAGTTTCGGGTTGTTGTGAAGGTTCATTTAGTGTGTTCTCTGGTTCTGGTAGCACCAAATTAGTTGTGCAAGACTCGTCCGAGTCGTCGTGGCGTGTAACTATACAATTGTCATAATTGAAAGATTCAAGTTCGGCCTCCGTGTCACTCATGTTTGAAAGATTAACAGCACTCGAATCACCTAAAGAACTGTTTCGTTGGACGAATGTGGGTGCTTGTTTATACACATAACCTAAAACACTTAACCTAAATAACGAACTAACAACACTGAATCTAATACCAGTCAAAACTCATATTTTGAGTCACCCAAACCCAACACAGATAAATAAATTGGTGATTGTGTTTCGTAAAAATAAATATTTGCGGTTTTTGGCGGCAAACCGTTTGGGTGACGTAACGTGATCGTTCGGATTCAAATAAAAACTGGGTTATGGTTGGTCGTGACAAGTCGACACATTTTGGCTGCAATTTAAACAAAGATTGGGGTTTGATTGCTTGCTTTTTTGTTTTTACGCACACAATCTTTGTGAGTTGTTTGATAATGGCTAATTTGTTGAAAATCCGGCGATTTTTGTGAAAGTTTTCAAATTCAAGGCCAACTGTGAGCCAGTTTTTGGTGGAACTTGTCACCGCAGTCTGTCACTACCAACCGCACGGACGAAAATCACCAAATCAAGTGTCGCTTGTAAACACACAAATGATATATTCTTTTAATTTATAATCTTTTTGTTTGTCGATTTTTCCATTCATTGATTTTTCAGGCTTTTTGGTTTTTGAATTTTTCTATTTTTTCAGGTTTCGATTTTTCAACTTCACTTTTTTGATTTTTCGATTGCCCAATTTTTCGACTTTTTAGGTTCTCAGTTTTTGGATATTTCAGTTTTCGAATTTTTCAGGTTTTCCATTTTCAGTTTCTCTTTCATTTATCTCAGTTTTTGATTCCTGGATTTTTCGATGTGTCGATTATTTTACTTTTCCAATTTTTCAATTTTTCGATTTTTAAATTTTAGATTTTTTAATTTTTAAAAGTTTCGATTTCTTTTCAATTGTCATTTTGTCAAATTTTCGATTTTTTAATTTTTCAAATAGACTTTCATAAACTCCCAATTTTTCGATTTTTCAATTAATCGATGTTTTGATTTTCCCATTTCTTGACCTTCGAGTGTTTCGATTTTCGTGTCCTTTAATTCTTTAATTTTTTGGTTTTTCAGGTTTTTGGTTTTTCAATTTTTCTATTTTTTCAGGTTTGGATTTTTCAACTTCACTTTTTTGATTTTTCGATTTCTCAATTTTTCGATTCTTTAGATTCTCAGTTTTGGGATTTTTCAGTTTTTCGATTCGTCAGTTTTTCTTTCATTTTTCAGTTTTGGGATTTTTCAATATTTCTGTTCGACTTTTCCATTTTTGACTTCTGGATTTTTCGATGTGTCGACTTTTTACTTTTTCGATTTTTAAATTTTAGATTTCTCAATTTTTTGGTATTTTAATTTTTCAATATTTAAAATTTTAGATTTTTCGATTTCTTGATTTTTCATTTCAGCTCTTCCATATTTCAATTTTTCAAATATTTCGATTTTTCAACTTTCCGGTTTTAGATTTTCTATTTTTCAATTGTCGTTTTTTCAAATTTGACATTTAAACTGTCAATTTTTCGATTTTTCAATTAACCGATGTTTTGATTTTCCCATTTCTTGACTTTCGAGGGTTTCGATATTCCTGTTCTTCAATTCTTTAATTTTTCGATTTTTCCTTTTTTGGTTTTTTAAAGTTTCGATTTTTCGACTTCACTTTTTGGATTTTTCGATTGCTCAATTTTTCGACTTTTTAGGTTCTCAGTTTTCGGATTTTTTAGGTTTTCCATTTTTCAGTTTTTCTTTCGTTTTTCAGTTTTTCGATATTTCAGTTTTGGGATTTTTCAATATTTTGATTCTTCGATTTTTCGATTTTTGACTCCTGGATTTTTCGATGTGACGATTATTTTACTTTTTCGATTTTTCAATTTTAGATTTTTTATTTTTTTAAATTTTAGATTTTTCGATTCCTCGATTTTTCAGTTCAATTTTTCGATATTTGAATTTTTCAAGTTTTCGAATTTTTCAAATGTTTCGATTTCTCAATCTTTTGATTTTTCGACTTCCTGGTTTTAGATTTTCTGTTTTTCAATTGTTATTTTGTCAAATTTTCGATTTTTCAATTTTTCAAATTTAACTTTCCTAAACTCGCAATTTTTCAATTTTTGACTTTTATAAACCCTTTATTTGTCGATTTTTCAATTAATTGATTTTTCAGGTTTTTTGGTTTTTCAGTTTTTCTATTTTTTCAGGTTTTGATTTTTCAACTTCACTTTTTTAATTTTTCGATTTCTCAATTTTTCGATTCTTTAGATTCTCAGTTTTGGGATTTTTCAGTTTTTCGATTCGTCAGTTTTTGTTTCAATTTTTAGTTTTTCGATATTTCAGTTTTGGGATTTTTCAATATTTCGTTTCTTCGACTTTTTCGATTTTTCAATTTTTCGATTTTTAAATTTTAGATTTCTCAATTTTTTGCCATTTAATTTTTCAATATTTAAAATTTTAGATTTTTCGATTTCTCGATTTTTCATTTCAGTTCTTCGATATTTCCGATTTTCATGTTTTCGAATTTTTCAAATGTTTTGATTTTTTAATCCATCGATTTTTCGACTTCCCGGTTTTAGATTTTTGTGTTTTTCAATTGTTGTTCCAAATTTTCGATTTTTCAATTTTTCAAATTTGACGTTTATAAACTGTCAATTTTTTGATTTTTCAATTAATCGATGTTTTGATTTTCCCATTTCTTGACTTTCGAGGGTTTCGATATTCCTGTTCTTCAACTCTTTAATTTTTCGAATTTTCAGGTTTTTGATTTTTTGATTTTTTGAAGGTTTCAATTTTTCGACTTCGCTTTTTGGATTTTTCTATTGCTTAATTTTTCGACTTTTTAGATTCATCAGTTTTTGATATTTTGGTTTTCGGATTTTCAGATTTTCCATTTTTCACTTTTTTTCATTTTTCAGTTTTTCGATATTTCAGTTTTGAGGTTTTTCAATATTTTGATTCTTCGACTCTTCGATTTTTGGCTTCTGGAGTTTACGATGTGTCGATTTTTTTACTTTTTCGATTTCTCAATTTTTCGATTGCTTAATCTTTCGATTTTTCGACTTCCAGGTTTTAGCTTTTCTGTTTTCAATTGTCGTTTTAAGTTTTTCGATTTTTCAGTGTTTTGATTTCCCGATTTAGTTTCCCATTTTTAGTTTTTCTTTCATTTTTCAGTTTTTCGATATTTCAGTTTTGGGATTTTTCAATATTTCGTTTCTTCGACTTTTTCGATTTTTCAATTTTTCGATTTTTAAATTTTAGATTTTTTAATTTTTAAAAATTTCGATTTCTTTTCAATTGTCATTTTGTCAAATTTTCGATTTTTTAATTTTTCAAATAGACTTTCATGAACTCTCAATTTTTCGATTTTTCAATTAATCCATGTTTTGATTTTCCCATTTCTTGACCTTCGAGTGTTTCGATTTTCCTGTCCTTTAATTCTTTAATTTTTTTATTTTTCAGGTTTTTGGTTTTTCAATTTTTCTAATTTTTCAGGTTTCGATTTTTCAACTCACTTTTTTGATTTTTCGATTTCTCAATTTTTCAATTCTTTAGACTCTCAGTTTTGGGATTTTTCAGTTTTTCGATTGTCAGTTTTTCTTTCATTTTTCAGTTTATCGATATTTCAGTTTTGGGACTTTTCAATATGTCTTTTCTAGGACTTTTCCATTTGGGCCTACTGGATTTTTCGATGTGTCGACTTTTGACTTTTTCGATTTTTAAATTTTAGATTTCTCAATTTTTTGGTATTTTAATTTTTCAATATTTAAAATTTTAGATTTTTCGATTTCTCGATTTTTCATTGCAGCTCTTCCATATTTCAATTTTTCAAATGTTTCGATTTTTTAGTCTTTCGATTTTTCGACTTCCCGGTTTTAGATTTTCTGTTTTTCAATTGTTTTTTCACATTTTCGATTTTCCAATTTTTCAAATTTGACTTTCATAAACTTTAAATTTTTCGATTTTTCAATTAATCGATGTTTTGATTTTCCCATTTCTTGACCTCGAGTGTTTCGATTTTCCTGTTCTTCAATTCTTTAATTTTTCGATTTTTCATTTTTTTTTTGTTTTTTTAAGGTTTCGATTTTTCGACTTCACTTTTTGGATTTTTGGATTGCTCAATTTTTCGACTTTTTAGGTTCTCAGTTTTCGAATTTTTCAGGTTTTCCATTTTCAGTTTCTCTTTCATTTATCTCAGTTTTTTACTCCTGGATTTTTCGATGTGTCGATTATTTTACTTTTCCAATTTTTCAATTTTTCGATTTTTAAATTTTAGATTTTTTAATTTTTAAAAGTTTCGATTTCTTCTCAATTGTCATTTTGTCAAATTTTCGATTTTTTAATTTTTCAAATAGACTTTCATAAACTCCCAATTTTTCGATTTTTCAATTAATCGATGTTTTGATTTTCCCATTTCTTGACCTTCGAGTGTTTCGATTTTCCTGTCCTTTAATTCTTTAATTTTCTGATTTTTCAGGTTTTTGGTTTTTCAATTTTTCTATTTTTTCAGGTTTCGATTTTTCAACTCACTTTTTTGATTTTTCGATTTCTCAATTTTTCGATTCTTTAGATTCTCAGTTTTGGGATTTTTCAGCTTTTCGATTCGTCAGTTTTTCTTTCATTTTTCAGTTTTTCGATATTTCAGTTTTGGGACTTTTCAATATGTCTTTTCTCCGACTTTTCCATTTTGGACTACTGGATTTTTCGATGTGTCGACTTTTGACTTTTTCGATTTTTAAATTTTAGATTTCTCAATTTTTTGCTATTTAATTTTTCAATATTTCAGCTCTTACGTATTTCAATTTTTCAAATTTTTCGATTTCTTAATATTTCGATTTTTCGACTTCCCGGTTTTAGATTTTGTATTTCAATTGTTTTTTCAAATTTTCGATTTTTCAATTTTTCAAATTTGATTTTCCCATTTTTGGCTTTCGAGGGTTTCGATATTCCTGTTCTTCAATTCGTTAATTTTTCGATTTTTCAGTTTTTAGATATTTCAGTTTTAGGATTTTTCAATATTTCAATTCTTCGGCTTTTCTATTTTTGACTTCTGGATTTTTCGATGTGTCTACATTTTTACTTTTTCGATTTTTCAATTTTTGGATTTTGGAATTTTAGATTTTTCAATATTTCTTAATCATCTGATTTTTCGACTTCTTGGTTTTAAATGTTCTGTTTTTCAATTTTTCGATTTGTTAATTTTTCATTCCCGATTTATCGATATTTGATTGTTCAGGTTTTCGATTTATCAGTTTTTCAATTTTTTATTTTGGCCTATTTCGGTTTCTCAGTTTTTCCAGTTTTCCATTTTTTTGTTTTTTGATTTTTCCGCTTTTAAAATTTTTCAACTTTTAACTTTTTGTTAGTCGATTTCTCTATTTTTCGATTTCACGTTCTTTTGATCTTTCAATCTCTCAATTTTTATTAGACAGATAATAATTCGTTTATCAAAATTTATGAATTCATCCCCTCCTCCCAAATGATGATGTAATCTTACATTTTTGTCGAATAAATGTTATGTAAGTGTTAAAAAGTAACATAGTCCTGAACTTGCGATTTATGGATTCGGGTTGAATTTTGATCCTAGACATCGAGATTTATAGAAAAAAATCAAAATTGTATAACAATTAAAATTTCAATTTTTAATTTTTTCCATTTTTCAATTTTTGTCGTTTCTGAATCGATTTTTCGACTTTCAAATTTTTGATTTTCTCATTTCTCGAATTCTGGACTCTTCTGTTTCGAATTCTCGATTTTTCGATGTTTCAGTTTTGGGATTTTTAAATTTTTCTTTAATTTTTCAATTACGATTTACCGATTTGTTAATTTTTCAATATTTCAGTTTTTTTAATATTTCAATCTTTCAATTATTTATTGATGTTTCGATTTCTCGATTTTTCAGTTCGATTTTTCTATTTTCGAGATTTTTAAATTTTGGATTTTTCAATTGCATTTATCGATCTTTCGATTTTTTTACTTTTCGATCTCAGATTTTTCGGTTTTTCAATTTTTCGATTTTTAAAATTTTTTATTTTCCGATTTTTCAATTTTTCGGTTTATCTAGATTTTGACGTTTCGATTGTTCAGTTTCCCCATGTTTTAATTTTGTAATTTTTCGATCTCAATTTTTCGATGTTTCAGTTTTGAAATTTTTGAATTTTTCGTTTCTATAATTTTTCTTTAATTCTTCAATTTTGCGATTTATCTATTTATTAATTTTTCATTATTTGAGTTTTATTGATTTTTCGATTTTTCAGTTCGTCGGTTTTTTACTTTTCGATGGTTCAGTTTTGGGATTTTTGAATTTTTCGTTTCTTCAATTTTTCGTTTTATCGTTTATTAGTTTTTCAATATTTCATTTTTTTAACATTGCGATTTCTCAATTATTTATTGATGTTTCGATTTCTCGATTTTTCAATTTTTGGATTGTTCAATTTTGCAATATTTTAATTTTTTCGATTTTACAGTTCGTCGATTTTTTTAATTTTCGATTACAGATTTTTCGCTTTTTCAATATTTCAATTCTTCGGGTTTTCTATTTTTGACTTCTGGATTTTTCGATGTGTCTACCTTTTTACTTTTTCGATTTTTCAATTTTTCGATTTGTTTATTTTTCATTCCCGATTTATCGATATTTGATTGTTCAATTTTTCAAATTTGACTTTAATTTAATAAATTTTCAATTTTGCGATTTTTCAGTTAATCGATGTTTTGATTTTCCCATTTCTTGACTTTCGAGGGTTTCGATATTCCTGTTCTTCAATTCTTTAATTTTTCGATTTTTCATTTTTTAATTTTTTTAAGGTTTCGATTTTTCGACTTCACTTTTTGGATTTTTCGATTGCTCAATTTTTCGACTTTTTAGGTTCTCAGTTTTTGGATATTTCAGTTTTCGGATTTTTCAGGTTTTCCATTTTTCTGTTTTTCTTTCATTTTTCAGTTTGTCGATATCTCAGTCTTGGGGTTTTTCAATATTTCGATTCTTCGACTTTTCGATTTTTGACTCCTGGATTTTTCGATGTTGATTATTTTACTTTTCTGATTTTTCAATTTTCCGATTTTTCAATTTTTAGATTTTTAAATTTTAGATTTTTTAATTTTTAGATTTTCCGATTTCTCGATTTTTCAGTTCAGTTCTTCCATATTTGAATTTTTCAAGTTTTCGAATTTTCAAATGTTTCGATTTCTTAATCTTTTGATTTTTCGAATTCGCGGTTTTAGATTTTCTGTTTTTCACATGTCATTTTGTCAAATTTTCGATTTTTAAACTTTTCAAATTTGACTTTCATAAACTCTCAATTTTTAAATTTTAGATTTTTCATATTTTTTGATATTTTAATTTTTCAATATTTCTTAATCTTTAGATTTTTCGACTTCCTGGTTTTAGATGTTCTGTTTTTCAATTTTTCGATTTGTTAATTTTTCATTTTCGATTTATCGAGAATTGTTTGTTCAGGTTTTCGATTTATCAATTTTTCAATTCTTCATTTTGGCCTATTTCGGTTTCTCTGTTTTTCCAGTTTTCCATTTTTTCGTTTCTTGATTTTTCCGCTTTTCCAATTTTTCAACTTTTAACTTTTTTCTCAATTTTTCGATTTTTCGACTTCATCACTTTTTGATTTCTCGTTCTTTTGATCTTTCAATCCCTCAATTTTTCAATTTTTCGAATTTTCAAGTTTTTTTGATTTCTCGATTTATGGAGATTTGGATTTTTCGATATTTTGATTGTCAATTTCTCAATTTGTAAATTGTCTAATTTTTAACTTTTCGATTTTGGCCTATTTCGGTTTCTCAGTTGTTTGACTTTTCGACTCCACGATTTCTTGATCTTTTGATTTTTCGATTTCTCAAATGTTTCGATTTCTCAATCTTTTGATTTTTCGACTTCCCGGTTTTAGATTTTCTGTTTTTCAACTTTCATTTTGTCAAATTTTCGATTTTTAATTTTTCAAATTTGACATTTATAAACTGTCAATTTTTCGATTTTTCAATTAATCGATGTTTTGATTTTCCCATTTCTTGACTTTCGAGGGTTTCGATATTCCTGTTCTTCAATTCTTTAATTTTTCGATTTTTCATTTTTTAGTTTTTTTAAGGTTTCGATTTTTCGACTTCACTTTTGGATTTTTTGATTGCTCAATTTTTCGACTTTTTAGATTCTCAGTTTTTGGATATTTCAGTTTTCGGATTTTTCAGGATTTCCATTTTTCTGTTTTTCTTTCATTTTTCAGTTTTTCGATATCTCAGTTTTGGGATTTTTCAATATTTCGATTTTTAAATTTTAGATTTTTTCATTTTTAAAAGTTTAGATTTTTCGATTTCTCGATTTTTCATTTCAGTTCTTCGGTAGGTATTTCAATTTTTCAAGTTTTCGAATTTTTCAAATGTTTCGATTTCTCAATCTTTTGATTTTTCGACTTCCCGGTTTTAGATTTTCTGTTTTTCAACTTTCATTTTGTCAAATTTTCGATTTTTAATTTTTCAAATTTGACTTTTATAAAATCTCAATTTTTTGATTTTTCAATTAATCGATGTTTTGATTTTCCCATTTCTTGACCTTCGAGTGTTTCGATTTTTCTGTTCTTTAATTATTTAACTTTTTGATTTTTCAGGTTTTTGGTTTTTCAATTTTTCGATTTTTTAGGTTTCTGTTTTTCGATTTCATTCTTTTTATTTTTCGATTTTTCAGTTTTTAGATATTTCAGTTTTAGGATTTTTCAATATTTCAATTCTTCGGCTTTTCTATTTTTGACTTCTGGATTTTTCGATGTGTCTCTTTTTACTTTTTCGATTTTTCAATTTTTGGATTTTTAAATTTTAGATTTTTCATATTTTTTGATATTTTAATTTTTCAATATTTCTTAATCTCTCGATTTTTCGACTACCTGGTTTTAAATGTTCTGTTTTTCAATTTTTCGATTTGTTAATTTTTCATTCCCGATTTATCGAGATTTGATTGTTCAGGTTTTCGATTTATCAGTTTTTCAATTTTTTATTTTCGCCTATTTCGGTTTCTCAGTTTTTCCAGTTTTCCAACTTTTAACTTTTTGTTTGTCGATTTCTCTGTTTTGATTTTTCGACTTCATCACTTCACAATCTCTCAATTTTTCAATTTTTCGAATTTTTAAATTTTTTGATTTCTCGATTTATCGAGATTTGGATTTTTCGATATTTTGATTTTCAATTTTTAGCTTTTCGGTTTTTCGATTTTGGCCTATTTCAGTTTCTCAATTGTTCGACTTTTCGACTCCACGATTTCTTGATCTTTTGATTTTTCGATTTCTCGGTTTTTCGATTTTCCAGTTTTTCGATGTTTTAATTTTTTAGTTATCCGAATTTTTAAATTTGGGGCTTTCGATTTTTCGTTATTCGGTTTTTAATTTTAGATTTTCGAATTTTACATTTTTTCGATTTTCTAATGTTTCATTTTTCGATTTTCAGTTCTTCGATTTTTCGATTTTTCAATGTTTCGGGTTTTAGGATTTTTTAAGGTTTCGATTTTTCGATTATTAGATTTCTCAATTCTTCGAATTTTCGATTATTTTAATTTTTAACTTTGGTTTTGCAAAATCAGCCTGTATGTCGCATCTATATTAATCTATGAATCGACTATTAATGTTAGCGATTTTTGTTTTGTTAATTGGCAACATATTCAAAACTTTATGATGGCACACTTGATGTCAAATTGACATTGTAGTCACCATTTCAGTAGCTGCCATCTTCTCATAGGTTTTTAGGAGCCTCATGTCAAATTGTTGCCAATTATTTAGAATTGCCAACCCAAAAATTTGTTTCAATTATTGATAGCCTACTATATCAACAGCCAGTACCAAAAAATATCGGGTGACTACAGAAATTAACGATTGGAGTAAATTTTTTGGTTGGTAGTTCTGAATGTCACTTCATATTGCCAACGTAACAAAAAACTCACGAACATTTATGTTGATTTACCTGAAATTTAGGTCACTAGTACGACCCAAATGATTTTATCTGGATGACTAATTTCTACACACTTCTTATTAATTAAACGTGTTACCAACCTCGCGGAGCCAAGGAACCCACAAATCAAAGCCGCCTCTTCCATTTCCGAAAACTCTTTTATTACATAAAATAAACACACGGGTAAATACATGGGTGCTTTTATATACATTAAATTACATAGAATTTACACGAATGTACAACTTAGAACTACCGTCCACAGGTCGAGATCAATAAACTGATTGTAATCAATTTTACAAAAATAAAAAACTGTGCCTGTGGCTCACTACGCTTTGACTAGAATCACTCGCAGAATAGAAATTTACATCTTATTCTTAGATAAAACTAACTTAAACTAGACTAGATTTAAGACTAGACGATACAGGGTGATGACTAATAACTTAAGGACTAGAGACGGTTCATCTGTACTAAATTAATAATGCACGTGTTTTACACCTTTAAACAGAACGGTTTTAAGTGTGGTAAGTTGCCGCTTTAAGCTTATTGCAAACTTCTTCCCTTGCCCGCACTGTCTTAACCTAAATTCCTTTTTTTTAATACAAAGGGTGCGAGCTTATTCAATTTGGCACCTAATTTACTTAACTTATATTTATTTTGATTTTGGTAAAGTTCGCTTAAAGCTATAAATTATTATCACAAGAAATTTTACACAAAAGCAATGAAAGACATTTGGAATTTTTAAAATTATGACTAGGTTTAATTTCGACTAGAATAGAAGACTAGGGCGTTGTAAATAAAACGACGCGTATAATTGGTTGCCTATCTGACTAGCGCTGGTATAAATTCTTGCCCAGGTGTTTAAATGACACACACACTGGGTATCGAACTCAAGTGACTGACTAGATAAGTACGTAAAAGTAAAATAAAATATATATTTAGTGTGAGTGACTAGAATTAAGGACTAGAACTTAATAGGAAATTGAAACCTGGGCACACTGCAGGAACTAGACTAGAACACACTTAAATCAAATTTGTACTGAACTTAATCTATGACTAGACACAAAACCGACTAGAGCATCGCCGAAGACTAGAACCATGAACTATTTACAAGATTTACACTATGTACAACCTAAAAATGGTTCAGCCACGTAATACTGGGTACGTACCTTTCCGAGTTGACGGCAACCTGGTTGACTGGTGGAAGCGGCGGGGGCCTCCACAACCTAGGCGCCATCCTAGGTATCGGCCTGACGGGAACAAGTCTTTGTCAGTCCATCTGGTGTATCGCTTGGTGCTTCCTCAAATATGCAATCCTCCGAAACCTCTTCCCGCACTCCCCGCAAGGAAACTGCTCCGAACTGTCCTCCCCCTCCTCGCTCTTGGGCTCCTTGTTGGTCGGCGGCCTGGGCTTGTGCCACCTCCTGTGCGACGCCAGGTTGGCCGGACAGTTGAAAACCTTATCGCACTCCGGACATCTGTACTCCACGTGGACTATCCTCGAGCACCTGTGCTGCGCCAGCCCGAAAGCGTCCTCGTACAGCTCCTTGCACAGCCGACACACGTAGTCCCCGATGTGGTTCTCGATCTTGGCCAGCTCCGCCTTGGCCTCCTCGGTGATTTCAACGACGTTGAACGCCGGGTCGATGTCGCCCTTGCGCACCACGAGGTTCTCGTCGGGCCGCAGCTCCCTGATGATGGTGCCCGACACCGGCGAGCTGTTGTCCTCGTCGAAGTTGAGCTTGCGCGTGGCCTTGCTCTTCTTCGGCGGGCTGGCGGGCGGGCGCTTCTTCGGCGGCGCGTCGGGCGTGGGCGAGCGCGCGCGCTTGGCCCCCGGCGACGGCGTGCACGGCGGCGTGATCGGCTGGCTCTTGAGGCTCAGGTCGAGCGGGTAGGCCAGCTCCAGGGGCTCGCTGTAGCGCAGGTATTGTTGGAGGTGCACGGCGGTGGAGGAGAGGAGGTGCGGCTCGAGGCCCAGGCGCTGGAGGACGGTCGGCTGGCTGTAGCTGGGTCGGAAGGCGGCGAATTCCATCTCATGGTGGTAGTAGACGCGAGGCATCCCTCGGGGTGTGCGACAGCCGACTGAACTTGGCGCTTTTCGGGACGCGGAGCTTCGCGAGCTCGCCAATAAGGGCTTCACCCCGCCTAGGCGGCGCAAGAAGGGTGCGCTAGGAGGGGCCGCGGCCCCACCCCCGGCCGCGATTGGCAGGCAAATCTGGATGTGAGCTTGGCCGAAAAAGCTCGCACTAACGGATTTTGCATGCTGGATCGCGGAGACGGCGGCGTAACGGTCGGCTACAACAAATCGTTGGACGGATTCCCCCGCAGATGGTTGTTATTACACCCTCGACCGGTGTTTAGGGGGCGGCGGTGTCTTGTGGGATTTTTTGTTAATTGCTTAACGGTCGAGGTGCACTATCGGGGAATCGACAGTTTTATGCCGGGTTTCGTGCTTCCGTTACGACTTCGAGATTTATTGATGTCTCATTTCCGGGGGGTTATTAAATGACCGGGGCACGCTTAGGACTTTCGCTTTTTTACTACTAGCATAAGCTAAGGAAGTATTGTAATGGAGTCCATCGGGTAACTTGACAGTTCCATGTTTTGCAGAGTGGTCATGACCTCTAGAGTACAAAAAAATAGGTCGTCTGTCTGTCTGTCGTCCGTGTCGATTTTTGTTAGACAGATAGTTTCCGAAACTACCCGGCCGATTGTTGGCAAATTCGATATGTGTATTATGAATATCATGTAGATGGTAAAACGCTAACTAAAGTTTGTCTAATCATCCCCACCAAGAATGTGATGACGTCTTCTCAAAATTATACATTCTAGTAAATGAGTTTTAAATTATATCATAAAATAACATAGTCCTACACGTGTGGTTTATGAATCCGTGTTGAGTTTTTACCCAAGACATGCAGATTTTTGAAAAAAAAAACAAAATTTTAAATCTTGCTGATCTTATAAAGTTATAAGCACGGTAAATTTTTCATCAAAATACAGGGTGTAAAAAAATGGCGCACCAGCTCTATGACACGTTCTTCAGGACTATTTATGGAGCAGAGAAAAAATAATTTAAAAAGCCTTTTTGTCCAAATATAGAAGATACAACCCTTCAAATTTTGTTTTTTCTCGAAGTTTCACCATATCCTGTTCACTAATACTTCCTGTTGAATATTTGAAATCGATTGGACTTTCATTATTCAAAATAATTTTGGAGGCATCTTTCTTGTCTGTATTTAGACATTTTATATCATTACAAAAAACTTCTTTAGGATGAAGTGGCTAAATTTTCACATTTTCTCAGTTTTGAGGAGAATATTAATTTAGTTCGTGAACCATTGCAATACTAAAAAAAAATAAAAAAATTGGAACGACATGGCAACGTGGCATAGGAATTAAAAAACTATGCTTATCAAACCTAGAAAGAGGTGTTCTTCTGTAAAGTGAGAATGGGAACTAATAAAGTGTAGGCTGTTTAAAAAAAAAGCGCTAATCGTAATTTGCTAGAAGATTTATTTCTTATTTCAGAAGAAAAATGATAATTTTATGTTTTTTTATACAGTGAAAATTGAAACTAACAAAATGTAAACTGTTAAAAAAAACGCTAATCGTAATTTTTTGTAATACTATTTTCTATAAGATGTATTTCTTATTTCAGAAGAAAAAACTGAGAGAACGGGTGGGTGGGCGGGGCTAAGTTTAACTTTTTCCTACAGTTATATATAAACAAGCAGTAGCCCCTCCCACTCACCCTGTATTTTCTTAGAGGGTACGTAACTTTCCAGAGTCAGTCTTATCTTAGCAAATACGAAGTGTTTATAAAAATCTAAAACCTAACAAATCTCAAATGAAACACCCGTCGTCTATTTTCTTAAAGGGTGTCTTTCGTCAATATCAGTCTTATCTCAGCAAGTTAGCAAGTACTAGCCCCGCCCACCCACCTCTATTTTCTTACAGGGTATATCATTTGCTAAAATCAGCCTTATATTAACAAGGCCACCAGTCCTCTATTTTCTTGGAGGGTATTTAATTTCCAAAAATCAGTCTTATCTTTGCAAGTACTAGACCCACCCACCCGCCCTCTATTTCCTTAGAGGATATATGATTCGCCAAATTCAGTCTTACCTTACAAATACTAGCCCCGCCCACCCGCCCTCTATTTTCTGGGAGAGTATTTAATTTGCAAAAATCAGTCCTATCTTAACAAATTCTAGCCCCGCTCACCCACCCTTTATTTTGAAAATTGGTGTAACGTGACAACGTCGCATCGTAATTAAAAAAAAACTGTGATTGTAAAGCTTCCGAGGAGGTCAGTCAAAATATGTAAAGATATATAGACCGTTTCATTTAAAAAAGCTAAGTTGTGTGTTCGCTTAGAAACAAAACACTCTGTATAGTTAAACATTATTTTAGAGTATTAGTTCTTAAAGAACCGCACAGTTTTGGTCTTTGACTTTTTTTTCTATTTCTAATAATTATGAGATATCGAGGAACGCGTATTTAGTGACACATTATTTCCACTTGCAGCACGCAAGCAAATACTATCCCCACCCACCCACCCTTTATTTTGATTTTCTTTTCATTTGCCAAAATCAGTCTTATCTTAACAAGTACTAGCCCCGCCCACCCGCCCTCTAGTTTCTTGTAGGGTATTTAATATTCAAAAATCAGTCCTATCTTAGCAAGTACTAGCCCCGCCCACCCACCCTCTGTTTTCTTAGAGGATATATCATTCGCCAAAATCAGTTTTATCTTAGCAAGTACTAGCCCCGGGGACCCGTCCTTTATTTTGAAAATTGTAATAACGTGGCAACGTCGCATCGTAATTTCAAAAATAAACTATGATTGTAAAGCTTACGAAGAGGACAATCAAAATATGTAAAAATACATAGAGCGTTTCATTTCAAAAAAATCAGTTGTGCGTTAGAAACAAAACACTCCGTATAGTTAAAAATTGTTTTCAAGCATAGTTCTTAAATATTGAGGAACGCGTATTTAGTGACTCACCTTGTATATGTCACGTGGTACACATTATTTCCACTTACTCGCAAGCGAATATACTAGTCCCACCCACCCACCCTTTATTTTCTTCGAGGGTATTTCATTTGCCAAAATCAGTCTTATCTTAGCAAGTACTAGCCCCGCCCACCCGCCCTTTATTTTCTCAGAGGGTATTTTCATTTGCCAAAATCAGTCTTATCTTAGTAATGTAAATAATAAGTAATGTATCTTGGTCTATTTTTTGTTCTTAAGTTTCTAATATGTCGATGTGTTTCTTAAAAAAACTTATCAACTTTAAATATAGAACATATTAAATAAAAAGAAATAACAAACAATGAAAATTGTAATAATTAAAACATTTTTATAAACACTCTGTGTATGGAAATTTAATCTCATTTATATCACAAGAAAATTGGAATCACGTGGCAACGTCGCGTCGTAATTTCAAAAATAAACTGTGATTGGTAAAGCTTACGAAGAGGTCAGTTAAAATATCTAAAGATATACAGAGCGTTTCATTAAAAAAACAAGTTGTTGGTTATACTTAGAAACAAAACACTCCATATAGTTAAAAATTTTGACTTTTTTTCTATTTCTAATAATTATGAGATATCGAGAAACGGGCATTTAGTGAGTCACCCTGTATATGTCACGTGGTACACATTATTTCCATCTACAGCACGTTAACTGAGGGTACTGCAACAAATCATTTTGATTAATGTTTAATATTATTTTTTCACGCCATTTCACAGTTCGTAGAAAACTAAAATCCAAATTTCTTATTTTAGCCTATTTGTTGTCGCTTTGTTCTATAACTTATTAGGACAATAATTTTCGAACTAGTGAACATATTGCTTTGAGATTTTTGAATTTGACGTCATCTTAAAAAAAAATTCAACAAATTGTAAAATGTCAAAAAAGTGGACCAACTCTATTTGCTATTAACATGATTTATTGCATTATAAATGACACAATTTTTGTATTTATCCCCACCAATAAATCGATGACGTCGTAGCAAATAAACTAACTATTTCGAAAAAATCTTTGCAGATAATTATTTTGTGTTAACTGTTTTAGCACATAACTAGAATTAAAAAAATAAATAAATAAAATACATTATTTGTAATAAAAAATCAGAGACAACCGATGTAATTTCCAAATAAATATTTTGGAATTCTTCGAACTATTTACTAGAAATCTTTGGTAATTCGTCGGAATTGTTGGAATTCATCAAAGTCGTTTTTAATTCAATCAAATTATACTAAAATTTCACAAAACTTGAAGCACAACACATGTATAAATATTTGGAAATAAATTTCAAGAAATAAAAAATTTCCAGTTAGTCAGGACCGATTTCCCATCTGGGGAAAAATTATGAATCAAAATAAAAAATAAATGAAGCAACTCGTAACTGTTTCGAAGAAATTACTTAGTAGTTATATTTATACAGCCCCAGATTCTGAGTAATTCCTTTGGAAACGACAAATAGGTCGTATACTTGGAAATAATTTAGTCACTGGAAACTCCTGAAATAGTTGTAATTACTTCCAAGTACCCCGAAATGTCTGCAGAATTATTGGAATTTACCAGAATTAACTGCATTTGCTGCGAAGTTCTTCGAAACTCCGGTTATTAAGTAATTTTACATAGTTCGCGCCGCCACCAAACCCTCCCACAGGTAATTTTAGCAGTCTCTGATTAACCTACTAATCAACAGCAGCAACAAAAATAATCACCCAACCAGACACCAATTCCACTCAAAACACGCCAAACTCTCCCCAAATTGCCCGTACCATTCTCCAATAAGGATCGGAATTCGTCAGTAACAGCTCAATTTGTCCCGTAATTTCCTTCCTAGGGGCGAACCGTCCCTCTCGATGCCGCCGCCGATAAAAATTCACTCACGAGTCCAGCCGACCCCCCGCCACCAAGACGGGGCGGAAAGCAGACGCACCGGGTCTTGCAGCTGCGGCTCCTTTGTTACCGATACAAGGGCGAAAGGTAAAGGGTGCAGGGCACGCGTCTGCACGCCCCCTTCGCCCCCCGCCGCATTACCTGCCGCCGCTCCGCTAATAATCAAACGTCTCGATAATTGGCTCGCCGACTTCTTATCAACGTCTCGAACACCTGATAAGAATGTAAAACAGGTGCTAAATTGTGTATTGGCAACAGGTGTCGTGTTGTTGATGTGAATGCACTCCGGGAATAATAAGACACCCTTCTTTAAGGTGTGTTCCTTTGAAATCACGGCGACCCACTGAGGGGTTGTTAAGTAGCTGGGGCACTTGTGGAGACACGGGTGTTGAACAGTCAATGGTCGGTGACTCGGGGGTGCGAAGACTTGTCGCAGGGGCGAGCCGGTCTTCGGGCTTATCTCATTAAAATTTATGAAGAAGGAGGAACAAGAACAAGTGTAAAGTGAAAGTGGGTTTCGGGGAGAGGCGATTAAGTAAATAATCGGTTTTAAGGAGGAGGACGACGTATTATGTGCTCTATTTTTAAAAATGTGGCGATGGTTATGCGACGGAAGGAACGTAAGAGGAATTTACGAGGCGAGGAGGTGGTTTGGGGTCGAGCGTGAGTGAGGACTACAAACAAAACTATATTTTGTAGTTATACGATCACAAACATAATTACAATTCGTTGCACTTTTCAGTGACCAAGTCATAACCGAGTTTTACTGTAATTTTAAAGAGACGGACGGACAACTGACGGAAATAAAACTATTTTGTGATAACATTAGTAAAACAAAAATTCTATTGTTACAATGTACAGTGCTTAACTTCGAGTGTTTATGTTTATACATCGAAATAATGTCACGTGCGACTGGAAATTTGTTTAATTTGAATACTTTTGTCTCATATCAATATTGTAATAAATCATGTTAATAGAGGATAGAGTTAGTTCATTTTTTTGACATTTTCATTTTGTTAATATTTTTTTAGGATGACGTCATCAAGTTAATGAATTTATTTATCATTTTCACTGTGACTCTAAAGTCCTCCAGAAATTTCAAAACAATCTATTCACTAGTTCGGAAATTATTGTCCTAATAAATTGTAGAACAAAGCGACAATAGGCTGAAATAAAAAAATTGAATTTTCGTATTCTACGAACTGTGAAAAAATAATAGTAAACATTAATCAAAATGACTTGTTACAGTATCCTCAGTTAACGTGTTGTAAATGGAAATAATGTATGTATACCTCGTGACATATACAAGGTGAGTCACTAAATGCGCGTTTCTCGATATCTCATAATAATAATTAAATAATAATAAATTAAAATAAATGAAATAGAAAAAAATTCAAAGACCAAAGTTGTGCGGTTCTTTAAGAACTATACTCTAAAATAACTTTTAACTATACGTAGTGTTTTGTTTCTAAGCGTAATACACAAATTAGTTTTTTTAAATGAAACGCTCTATATATCTTTAGATATTTTGATTAATCTTTCGTAAGCTTTACAATCACAGTTTGTTTTTGAAATTACGACACGACGTTGCCACGTTATTTCAACTTTCTTGTAATATAAATGAGATTAAATTTCCATATACAGAGTGTTTATAAAATGTTTTTTATTTAGTATGTTCTATATTCAAAGTTGATAGTTGCTGCGATTTTTTACTTTTTTAAGAGACACATCGACATAAAAAAATATGAGAAACTTGAGAACAAAAATTAGACCAAGACAGATTACTTATTATTTGCTAAGATAAGAGTGATTTTGGCAAATGAAATATGCTCTAAGAAAATAAAGGGCGGGTGGGCGGGGCTAGTATTTGATAAGATAAAACTGGATTTGGCGAATGACATATCCTCTAAGAAAATACAGGGTGGGTGGGCAGGGCTAGTACACAAGTAAGTTTTTTTTTGGTCCAATTTTATACACAGGGTGAGTCACTAAGCGCGTGGTCCTGGATATCTCATTAATTATTACAGATAGAAAAAACAGTGAAAAATCGTCCGTCTTACAATATTTTGTGACAGCATAAATAAAGGTACGAGCTTTATAGTGGTATCATCTAAATCAAATTTTAATATACAGATTGTTTATAAAAAATTTCAAATTTTATTTTCAAATATCGAATTTCAGCTTTTTCAAATGGAACACCCTGTATTTTATTACTGTATCTTACTCTCCTCATTGTTCTAATATGTCGATATGTCTCTTAAAATAGTAAAAATTGCAGTAACTATCAACTTTAAAATGGAAAATACTCAGCAAAAACGAAAGAGCACAAAAATAGAATAAGATTCTATTAATAAAATAAATTTTAAAAAATAACGTACTCCTATATTTTTATTCGTAAAAGAGAACACATTTTCTGAAAAAAGATACATTTTATATATGTAATTTGTATTATATGGTTGCAATAAATAGTTTTCCATATATTGGACTAGTTCAATATTTTTACCCTAGGCTGTATATTTTTGTTTCTTCTAATTAAAGTAGAGTTAAAACACTATGAGAAGAACCTAGTAGTGATACATTTGCACTAAAAGGGGATGGGTATTCTATGAAGCCCTGCCCACCCACCGTCTATTTTCTTAGAGGATATCTTATTTGCCAAAATCAGTCTTATTTTAGAAGGTACTAGCCCCGCTCACCCGCCCTCTCTTTTCTTACAGGGTATCTCATTTGCCAAAATCAGTCTTATCTTAGCAGGCACTCTCCCCGCCCACCCACCCTCTCTTTTCTTAGAGAGTATTTAATTTGCCAAAATCTGTCCTATCTTAGCAAGTAATAGCCCCACCCACCCCGCCCTCTGTTCCTCTATTTTCTTACTACTGGGGCTGTAATAATTAAACCATTTTTTATAAACACTCTGTATATGGAAATTTAATTTCATTTTTACCGCAACAAAGCGCGTACCTTTATGTATCTCCTCAAAATATTGTAACACAGATTTTAGTTTAATATTTAATAACCCTATTGCGATTTTTTGGTAGTCTTCCATTGCTAAAAAATTTCAAGAAAATTGGAATGGCGTGGCAACATCGCATCGGAATTTCAAAAATAAATTGTGATTATAAAGTTTAAGACGAAATAAATTAGACTATGTAAAAATATATAGAGTGTTCCATTCGAAAAACTAAGTTATGTTACATCTTGAAAACAGAACACTCTGTATATTTGAAAGTAAGTTGAGCGTATAACCTTTAACTTTCTTACGGTTTTTTACAGTTTTTCAAGACAAAGTTTATACTATATGATTAAAAAAAAAGTCGTCTAGTACTTGGTAAGATAAGATTGATTTTGGCAGATGACATATCCTCTGAGAAAAGAGAAGGTGGGTGGGTGGGGCTAGTATTTGTTAAGATAAAACTGATTTTGTTCCTATTAATCTTGTTAAAACTTGTGAAATTTAAACGTGTTAAATTGCAAATTTCGATAGTAACGAATTCAATTCCTCAGTCTATCCGAAATGTGCAAAACATGATGAGTTGTTACTTGTGATTTATCATTGCATTCATATTTTTAGATTTGCTTATACAGGTCGCTCAAAAAAAAATTAATGAATGCGTCAATTTATTTTATTGATTAAATCAGGAACGGTTCACCCCATTTTCCCAGAAAATTTTGGGAATACAATACTGTTATTTTTAGTATTACAGTGCACCAATCCAAGGCGGCCTTGCAAAAATGTTAATGATGTCCATCACAAAATTCTGTAAAGTAAAAACTCAACTTAGAAATACTGGTTATGTTTCACTGTACTTTCGGTGCGAGGGAATTTCTACCGAAACAGCTTTCGATCAATTTTTTTAAGAATGTAAAACTTCTCGGGGGTCCTAATTGTCTTGTTTTAACAATGGGAAACCTTCTCGAAATTTAATGTTGGAAGAATTGTTGACAACACCAACTGTAATGCCAATATAATTTTAAAAATAAATTTCATGGTTTACTCAACGACTTTTTTTTCCAGTACTTGGAAACAAAGGATATTTTGTTGGCTTTTACCGATACGAAATTTGGATTAACCAGGAAGGTTTTGAGATCGTTTTTGACCAAAATCCCATTTTATTCCTGTTTGAAATTTTAGATAAAAAACAGCGTCCATTATTTTCGAAAATTTATAATATTTCTTTTACATTTCAAGCAAGAAACGGAAAAACAAATACAATGTTTGTTATTTTAAAATCTAGTAGACTAGAATACTGGATTGTGATATTTAAGATTTTCAAAAAGGTCAAATTTCAGATTCCTTCAGGATAATAGTGAAACTACTGAAAATATTATATTACTTGACCGAATTCGGGTCTTGTTAATTAAATTAGATAGTGTGATTTTGTAACACAACACAAACATAGTTTTAGATAGTTAATTTGTATGAAACAGGAAACAGTTTTTTATTCAGAGGAAACGTATTTATTTCACTTTCGAAAATAATAAAAGAAAAACAATTAAAAAACTCAAACTTTAACTACGATAATTTTTTTTATAATTTTGATGAAAATATTGAAAATATTTGACCTCTCAGGGACCAACAACGCCCCCACTGACTTTACCCTACCTAATAAAAATTACATTCCCTCTATTTGAATTTTCAAGCGGCGTCAAATTTATGCACACAATCAATTTTCTTCGCCCAATAAAATTCCTCCGGCGCGCAATCCAGGCCTGAAAATCACCGACTCGCCCCGTGAGTGTTATTAGTTTATGAATATAAATCGATTCGCTTAAAATTTCCATAATCCCCTTAATTTTTAATCGGTCTTTTTCGACCGGAAACCATCCGCCGTGTGCCATCACGAAATGTCACTTGGCGACAGTCTTAATAATTCCATAAGTGACATTTCTCGTGTCCTCCGGAGCCGTAATTGGAAAGGATAATTTCAGCGTCTTAATATTGAAGCTCCCATTAATTTTTAATAAACGCAACACTTGAAATTTAATAAAGGCGATGTTTACTCCGGGATCACGAAGCAACAATTAGCCGGAGAAAAGTGCGCTCGACTGGGCCCTAAATTAGCGCCGCCAAATTAAAAACGGTGGGTTTTCGGGGCACAAAGGTCGCAATCGATTCTAGTCCTAGCTGGGTGATAGAAAAAATCGTAAACAAAGTTGAGCAGGGGGTTTTTGAGCCAATTCGAAGGAATTTCTTGCGTATTATTATGTTACACGGTAATGGCGTAGCCCCGGGACGAAGTGCATTAAAATATCAAGTATCTATAACATATTTACATCAACATTTGCATTCCGGTTTGAAAACAAACAACTCTGCTACAAATAGTTCCGTTGTTAGATCGAAATCGATACAAACAGAGCGGCCAACAAAAATCCGGATGGGTAATATAGCGGGGGATTTTCTAACGGTATGGACAGGTGTGACGGGGAATCAATAATGAATCACCCCGATTCCAGAACTGAGTGATTCACTAGCTAAATCCATTGTGGGCCGGTACGGGAGCTTTTACTTTCGTTGTGGCGATTAAATTTTTGAATGTCCACATTTCCGGCTCGTTATCTAATGGAAAATAAGTATAAATAAGTGCACGGGGTTTATCTTATCGCGCTATCACAAAATGATCAGCCCCTATTAAAATTTATTTTATAAATATACACACATGATTGATAATAAGTGCTTGCGCTTTATCTAAATCCCCTAGTTTGTCAAAGCTCTTGGCACCTGTCTCTGGTTTTCGGTATTTTCGGAGGCCACATCAACAATGTTGTTCAGCGAAAGTGGCTATTTCATCATTTTTTGGTTTCAGCTGTCGGCGAGGATTTTATTGGAGTACGATAAAGTTTTAGGTTGGAAGTTGGAATTCGACCAAGCGGGCTTTAAGTATGAGGGGTGAAGTATTTGAAAGGGAAAAAGGTGCTATTTTACATTGGCAATACATAGAGCTCGGAGATTCTTTAAAATTGATCCAATCAAAACGTCGGGTGCCCCTGAGATTTTTTAAAACTACTTCAAAAATAAAACACCAAGCTCTCTAAGATTCTTCTAAATTCACAAAACACCAGGTGACCCTAAGATTCCTTCAAATTCTTTTAAAACCAAATCACCAGTTGCCCGTGAGATTCTTTAAAATTACTTTAAATACAAAGCGTTCGATGCACCAGAGATTTTTTAAAATACTTCAAAAATAAAACATCCATGTGCTCCTGAGATTCTTTCAAAAACAAAACACAAGGTGCCATTGAGATACTTTAAAACTACTTCAAATAAAAAGAGTTCGATTCCCCAAAGATTCTTTAACCTACTTCAAAAATAAAACACCAGGTCCTCTAAGATTCTTCTAAATTTACAAAACACCAGTTGCCCGTGAGATTTTTTTAAACCTTCTTCAAATACAAAGCGTCCGATGCCCCAGAAATTCCTTCAAAAACAAAACACAAGTTGCCCCTACTTCAAAAATAAAACACCAGGCTCTCTGAGATTCTTCTAAATTCACAAAATACCAGGTGCCAAATTCTTTTAAAAATGAAACACCAGTTGCCCATAAGATTCTTTAAAACTATTTCAAAAACAAAACGTCGGGTGCCCCTGAGATTCTTTAAAATACTTCAAGAATAAAACACCAATCCCCCTGAGATTCTTTCAAATTCTTCTGAAACAAAATACCAGTGGCCCCTGAGATTTTTTAAAAATACTTCAAAAAGAAAACTTTGGATGCCTCTGAGATTCTTTAAAATACTTCAAAAATAAAACACCAGGTGTTCCTTAGATTCTTTATAACTACTTCAAAAACAAAAACGTCGGGTGCCCCTGTGAGTACTTACTTCAAAAATAAAATACCAAGTCCCCCTGAGATTCTTTAACACTACTTCAAAAATAGAACGTCTGAAACTTTGAGAGTTCTTTAAATTCGTTAAAGAGTAGAACCTCATATGCCCCTGAGATTTAAAACCACTTCAAAAAGTAAGCATCAGAGGCCCATGGATTTCTTTAAATGCTTAAAAATATAAAAACAACAAGGATCCTCAACATTCTCTCAAATTCTTTTAAAAATAAAACATCAGGTCCCCCTGAAATTCTTTCAAATTCTTCTAAACTACTTCAAAAACCAAACGTTGGATGCCTCTGAAATTCTTTAAAAAACTTCAAAAATAAAACACCTGGCGCCCCTGATATTCTTTAAAACGACTTAAAATACAAAACGTCAGGCGGCCCTGAAATTCTTTAAAATACTTTAA